GCCCTGGTGGCTATTTGTCGGTGTGCTTGCCTTTACCTCTCTGTTCGCCCTTTCGTCCGCCAAATCTGTGCTCTTCGAGGAGGTTGAGCCCGACAACGCTCTTCGACCTGACCAGCGCTCACCTAGTTCACCCATGACCCATTACGAGGCGAACAAGGCTGCGCAGTCAGGCCCCGTGAAATCTGTCGACGCCTTGCACGCTCGACCACTGACACATGTTGCCAAACGCAGCCCTCAGGCAGGATCTTCCGGCGGCACTAACGTCCGAAAGCTTGTCTATCCAGGCATGGTTTTGCGGGTCTTCGACCATTCGGAAGACCCTAAGCCTCTCTTCTTATTTACAGAAGCGTCTAGCGCTGGCCGTGACGAGACCAACATGGCTCACTTCTACCACGAAATGAATTCTATGCATCGAGAGCTCACGAGACAAACCATCCCAAATTTCGAAAATGTACGGCAAAACAATTGGGCAAATTGGCGTAATGAGATTCGGAGAGCCACAGGTCGCCTTGATGACACGAATGACTATCCCGTCCCAGGTTACGGGAAGAAAACTATCCGCATTTACGGTGATGGTGACGACCGTCTCTACAAGGTTAAGTCTTCTCGTTTGCCTCTTATGTTCGAGAAGAAGGTCAAGCTTTCCCAGCTTCCTGATCATCTCCGGAGATGGGTAATGGCAGTTGAGGAGAATCCTGAATCGACCTTCGTCCAACATCATCTGAAGCGCAGGTCGTTGCCTTCACTTAAATTAGAAAAGCGTGGGACGCAGTGGGACACGCATACTGACATCCCATATGATGGCGAAGGTTGGCGGATTGTGAGATTGTCTGACGGGTCAATTGCGTTCAGTCATGTAGTCCCTCTTAGCGGCAACACCATGGTTACAAAGCGCTTTGACGAGCTCCAGCAACCGGCGCAGAAATCTCTCCTCAAGGCTATCCCGGCTGTTAAGACTCTCCAAAAGAATGGCTGGAAGCTCGATGCCATGCGGGAGCCTCTTAAGTTTTCTCTAATTACCCGGGAAGCAGATAATGTTTACTACTCCCCGGATCGACGGCCAGACATCATCAAGGTTCGAGGCAGGGGCAATTACTACGAGTTCCGGTATCCCGCAGGGAAGTTTCTCTGGCGTACTCAATACAAATGGGGCCAGTATGGGGATCTTCCAGACCACATGCGAAAGGCCCTTAAAAGGCGATTGAACCTATCCCTGCAGATGGAACACAATTTACCTTGGCAGAAGATCCGCGCCCACATCGGACGGCGCTCACTCGAATCGGAAGAGAATCCCGCCCATAGCACACGCAAGAGCAAGCCGAAGGTCGAGAGCCCGAGATTTCCCTCAACATCCCGCCATGTCCCGAACAACTCTGGTAAGCAACCTCGATATCTGCAAACGAGTTTCGAGGAGGCCCATCCTAGAATTTCCAACAAAGTGGCAGAGGCAGCTCAAAAGGCCAGGCATGCGTTGAGGAAGAGATCTTCGCAAGGAGCATCTTCGAGCAGCCACCCGCCGCAAGAACGCTTGACTTCGGCTCCAGACAAGACGCATCAGGCGTTCGAATATCCCAAACGGATACTTGATATCATGATTATTTCTTCCGATCCAGGCACTAGATTCGCTCTGGTTTACCGGGATCAGCAGGGCGACCACTTCTCAGGCGAGTTATGGGAAAACTTGCAGCCACTTGAGCGCGAAGTGATTCGAAGCTCGATCCCGAAAATCGACAAGTATTTGCAAAATCCAACAAAATGGCAAGCTGTAGTCGCCCCTTTTGCACTAAACGTGCCAGGTCTTCAGAGGGCTTGGGTCTCAAAAAATTCGATCACGTTCAAAGCTGAACGCATTCAAGTGGTGCTCAGGAAGCCGCATTTTGGCAAAAGATACCTTGCTTTCCATGTATTCAATCATGCTCGCAACGACTATAATAAGCCAGTCAGGTTCAAGGCACTGCCGGCACATCTCCAGAATTGGTTCAATGAGAATCATGCAAGCGATCTTGAACGCATGCTCGGACACCCCCTGCGTAAGAGGGCTCTGCAGACAGAGCCGGTCATGACTGTCGACTATCCAGTTCTCAAGAGGAAGAGATCTACGCAAGCAGGTACATCAAACAACGACCCGCTGCAAGAACGCTTGCTAATGGAATCAGGTGAGACTGCAAGTAATGCAAAGGATGGGCTGTTCAAATATCCTGGAGGGGAAATTGTTAGACGCATTTCGATTCTCCCTTTCACTGACGTCTACCGGTTCAGTATATATACCCCTAGCCATGAGCCTCACCTCAACAATTATCTTCCATTTGAAAGGTTGACGGAAAGTCAGCAGCGAATGGTTCGAGACTCGATCCCAAATATCGAGCAATTTTTGCACAATCCTGAGGAAGCGGGGCATGTACTCTCCGATCACGTAATTCACCTGCATGAGGGTGTAGTGTCCTGGAACATTCCGGTCACGAGCAAGGCCGAACGGATCCAAGTGAAGCTCAAGAAGCCGACCTTGGGATTCATTGGAAAAAAGCACCTTGAATTCCATGTATTCGATCATGCTCGCAACGACTATAATAAGCCAGTCAGTTTCAAGGCACTGCCAGCACATCTCCAGGATTGGTTCAATGAGAATCATGCAAGCGATCTTGAACGCATGCTCGGACACCCTCTGCGTAAGAGGGCTCTGCCGACCACTATCGACTTTACAGGTTGGAAGAGGAAAAGAACTCCGCCTGGAGGTATACCAAACCCTACGTACGAATATCCTGGAGAGGAACTTGGTGGACACATCCTGATTTTCCCTAAACATCCAGGCTTCGGGTTCGGTGTGATTCGCAAGGGTGAAGAATCCAACGCCTTTATCGTGAAATCATGGAGGGGGTTGAATGGGTTGGAGAAGCAAGCGGTTCGAGATTCGATCCCAAGAATCGAAAATGTCAAGGACGATCCCGATGCCCTCATTAAAGCAGTAAAACCTTTCCGAAACAACGTGCGAGGTTTTCCCGGCGCATGGGTCTCGGAAAATCCTATCAAGAGCAAGGCCGAACGGATCCAAGTGAAGCTCAAGAAGCCGACCTTGGGATTCTTTGGAAAAAAGCATCTTGAATTCCATGTATTCAATCATGCTCGCAACGACTATAATAAGCCAGTCAGGTTCAAGGCACTGCCAGCACATCTCCAGAATTGGTTCAATGAGAACCATGCAAGCGATCTTGAACGCATGCTCGGACACCCTCTGCGTAAGAGGGCTCTGCAGACAGAGCCGGTCATGACTGTCGACCATCCAGTTCGCAAGAGGAAGAGATCTCCCCAAGGAGGATCATCGAGCAAACGCCCACAAAATGAACGCTTGACTTCGGGTCCCGAGCCAGAGCGGCTTGTCACTGTTAAGTATCCAGGTCAGAAGCTGATTTTTTTCCCAATAAGAGGCCAGTATCGTTTTAACCACTATGACCCGAGCAAGGAATCGGTCCGTACATTAGAATGGTCGGAATTAACGCCCCGGACGCAGGAGCGATTCGAAACAGAACATCCCAACCTGCGTACTGTGGCAACGAGTACCATGCCTTTGGAAGAAGCTCGAAGGCGCAACGTCATCCTCGCTGAGAATCCTTTGGACAAGAAAAGGTTCTATCCTCATCCGGAGTTTCCTGCAGAGAAGTATCATGTGCTGAAACAGGCCGATGGAAGCATTGTCTTCCGTAGATCTCGTGACAAAAATCTGGTCGCATGGTCGGCACTTCCCGGTCACATTCAGGAATATATAGTGAGGAAACCTGAATTGGGACACGTTCTCCGCGAGATTGAGAACGCCCCTCGTGCCGCCTGAGGTCGTTTCCGATTTAGGTGACGATTTTGCAGCTTCGGCCAAATTTGGACACCTAGCTTATAGCACAAATGGCTTTTCCCAAGTCCAGGTCGAGTTTTCACGACGATCTAGCGAAGAGCGCCGATTCATCGTTCATGGACAGGAACGGGCTTCCTCTCCTTGCCGTTTTCTTTCCATCTCTTCTTCTCGACTCCTCCTGCAAAGTTTCGTCCTCTACAGATTTCCACCACTGTCTTTCCCAAATCAGATCTCTGGTCACTCACGAGTTTTAGCAACTCTCCCTCTCTTTTTCTGAGCCTTGCTCATATTCACTCCTTACATTTCCGCATCACCACCAATTTCCTTTTTTTTTCAATCTCACTCCTTCACTCCCATTTGCGAAGAATTGGCCGTCTGATTTCGTTTTCGCTTTCTTGTCTCGAACTCAAGATTTTTCTCTGTCCCCTCACTTGTCGAAGCTGGTATGGACCATACTTCAGCTCGTCAATTAGATTTTGGTAGCATTGTGTCATTCGTGGGTTAGCCATATTCTTGGCGCTTGCTCGATGCTGTCGATATCAATTCAGTTTGATGGCTGTTGTACCTTTTGATTGGATGTAAATTGATCGAGAGGTGTGGGCCCTTGAGCACACGCGTCAAAATTACAGTAAGTTTGCTGCTCTGATTTCACTGAGTCTATGAAAAATAAAAAATAAAGAAAATAAAATAAAAAGCGGGGATGGGCGGTGTTTGACAGAGGCGTGAAATCATCATACTGAAAAACATTTTGTAATCACCATTTTACTCGTCCATATCTTCAAATCAATCTTGGTCCAAATTTGTGCAGCAATTTTCCTCTTACGTGTAGTGATGCTTAAAAAAAAAACAAAATAAAGAGGTTTAGCTACCGATACAAATCGCCGTCTAAAGCCCAAATTACTGTACTTAATTCATAATGTTTGTGGTTCAAAAGGTCAAGTCGTTCTCAACGGCTTCTTCACATAGAGTTGGCTTAGTAAGTGGAAAGAACGGTCATCAATTCGATTATTTGGTTTTTTTTTTCTTCTTCGTGTCGTGCTCTTGTCGTGGCATCATTTTCTTTATTCGAGTCTGGCTATTTTGCGATTCTCCCGTGTCCTGTCTCACAGGGTACTAGAAATAATTCATATGTTCATTATGAAACTAACGGGGCCTGAAAGGTTGCATGGAGTAGTTGGTTAACTTAGGAGATTCTGATTGCTTCCGAAGGTGATATGGACTGACCATGTGATGATGTCGGATATTACGATTCGAATTCTCTTGCCCTGGGTTCGAATCCCAGTGCGACTACGAAAATTTTTGGGTGGTGATCGCTTGGCGTCTTTACCTATAATTCATCTTTTAACTTCGAATGGCTTTCCCCCTTTTTCTACAGTACAGACACAGGGGTTGGAGTTTTAGTGATGCTCATTGATGCAATCATTTGTTCTGTTGGGATCGAAAGGTTTTGGTGTGTCATATACTGTAAACCCCCTTTGCCCCATTGAAAAAAGCCAAACCACCTTCTTTCAAGTTGAAGATATTGCGCCGACCGAATTAGGCGGACAAAGCGTAAGGCGGACAAAGCGAGGAATTGAAAGGGCGAACAAAGGGAAATATTATTGGGAGTAAAATAGAGCGAACCGTCCTGGCGAGCGAGACGAGTATAGCGAGCGGTACTTGACAGATTATTTTGTCTTTACCGAACTTTTGAGGCCGCGACGAAGATATATAGACTCGAAGATTTGGCATGTAAATAGTTCAGAAAATCATTCGAATGAGATCGTTTCACCAGAACCAAGATTTTCGACTTTTAACTACATGCACACATTGCCACACGATGGGAAACGAACGGAAAAATGCAGAGTATGATTGATTGAATGGGTGCCTGTGCGGCTTGCGGGGCTGATCTCGAACTCATGCAGGTGTGGTAATAATATGATATGTGTCAACGGAACAGACATCGTGTTTGTGGGATGGCTAGCGTGCATGACGAGCCGGAAGTGGACGGGGGGATCCTTTACGTTGAATCGATTCGTGACGAAGCCAGAAAGGCCAGACGAGTACGAGAGAAGAGAGGCAAGAAATTAATGTACAGTATTGGTAAAATGCGTGTGACACTCAGGGATAAGAGGCGTTAGATGCGTGGCAGGGTTCGTAGCGCTGCTGATCTTTGGCATTAATCATGATAGCCAGGCGTAAGGACGCAGGCGCAGGGACGCAGGCGCTTAGTAGGCGCCTCCAGCGCGAGCGATAGGCGTGGAGCGGCCAGAGGCGGAGGTTGGTGTGTGTGTGCTCAGACCTGCAGCGTCAGGACTGGTCTGGGGCACCTGATTGTCGCTGTTCCAGCAAAAGCGAGCTACAAGCTCGTTGAAGCTGGTGAGGTTGGATGGGCGCATGAACTCTTCCTCCGGTGTAGCCAACTCCGAGGACGGCGACAGCGTCGTGGAGGACGACAAAGCCGAGGAAGAGTAGCCGTGCTGTCCTGCGTCATCTGCTCCAGCAAATGGAGAGGGTCGCATCCTGCCTTCGAGATGATCAGCTCGAAGGTAGTGGTACGAAGATGGGCCGCTGATGCTGCCCAGATTGTCCAAGCTGCCGTCCATGTTCGATTTGCCGCTCATGTCAATCATAGCAGTCGAGTCGGAATCGATCGAGGTCGCAGAGAGGGTAGGCGAGAAAGGATTGGGCGAATTGGTGAGCGAGTTGGGAGACGCTTGGCTGCCATCGGGTGTGTAGTCCTCGAGCACGGTGCCATCGCTCTTGATGGCGATTCTCGTGGTCGAAAACCCCAGAGGTGACGGAGGAGTGCCTGACCTCGAGTTGGAAGCAGATCCAGACGCAGAACCGGAACCGGTACCATTGTGCGCCTCATCGTCCCAGGCGCCGAACACGCTGCGTGGCTGTACGTTGCGATTTAGGCGCAACGAGTTGAAGCGCGTTGTAGACGAGGGGGACGGAGGCGAAGGACCTCCTGGGCTCAACATAGCATGGGATCCCAACTGTGGCACTCGGAGCATGGATCCGCTCGGAGAGCTGGTATTCGAACTGTTGATAGCGGGGTGCTCTACGACCATTTCACCCAGACCGGGGCTCAACATGCCGAGACGACCGAATTTGGGAAGAAGCTCAGATGCACTCCTGGGAGTGGAGGCATCGGGAGACGGGGTAGCAGCGCTGATGATAAAGGACGAGCGCACCGGGCTCGTGGAGGCAGCGGCGGAAGGGCGTGCCGAGAAGTAGTCGAGCGCGGCGGCACGGCCAGCCTCGGTCTTTCGACTGCCAGTGGTGGGGTCTCGAAGCGATGCGCCAAAATCGTATCGCGCCGACCACATTGAGGGCGAGCCTGGCTTGCCAGCTCCGCCGGGAGAGACGGGGGGCGAACGACGTTTGGACATCTCTGAAACAAAATTGCCCGAAGCGGGGGCTTTGTCGGCTTCTTCCTCGTCGGAACGCAGACGTTCGAGCTCTTGCTTGAGCCTTTCCATGGCGTGGTCGCGTGAGGCTTTCTGCCCGTAGACCCCGGTCCTGCGGCCCATCTCGATGATGGAGGAAGTCGAGGCGGGACCCATGGAGCTGAGCGTATACCTTCGCGGAACCGTGTTGCCGAATGTCGACGAAGGGCTTCGGCGATCGCCCGAAGATGGTGGCATACGAGGCTGCTCGACAGGCTGTGCTGGGCGCTTGCGAAAGTCGAGCTGGTAGTTGCCGCCGTCATTGTTGTCCCAGATCTCGCGACCACCGGTGGTGTAGCGCAAGCAAAGGAAGATGGTCTTGGTCTCGTTTAGACCAGCGCCACGGGGCCAGTTGAGCACTTCATTGAGCTTGATGGAGAAAACGAAGCGGTCAGCAGTGCCCTCTTTGATGCTCTCAGAGTATTCTGCCGAAACCTCGTTGACAGTGGTCCAGTGATCCAGCGTGAAGCGAACCGCAACCCACTTTTCGAAGCTCAAGTTTTTGACTTGCACGGTGCCGCGGACGGATCGCAGGTCGTCAGAGAGATAAATCCTCTCGAGGAAAATGTCCTTGTCGAGCGACAATTTTGCGGACGAAGGAAAGTTGGGGAGACGCAAGACCAGCTGCTCCTCCGCTTCGACGGCAGGAGGTGTAATTGCGTTGGTGGGGCTTCTAGTGCCAGATGCTCGACCGGAACCTCCACCGCGACGAGATCCAAACCAAGGATAGTCGCGCTCCTCCTCAGTCTCGGTCTCGGTCTGCTCTGGGCTCCCTTCGCGCGAGACTGCCTGTGGACGACCCTTGACCTTAAAGATTTTGATGTGCTCGAGCTGCGTGTCAAAGTGAACCGACTTCATCGCGCTGGGCGTCGTGGGAACCGACTTGGCTCCATAGGCAGAAGTAGGCAGAATAGGTTCGGTGGCGGAGCAAGGCACAATGTAGCTGCCAGAATAATGCTTGAGCGAAGACTTGACCGGTTCGCCCGACTTCTTTCGGATAAGATCCGAGCTGGCGGAAGCGGTGGATGAGATCGACGTACGATCTCCTGCTGGCGATGGCAGGCAATGCAGATCGAGGCTGAGCCCGCCAAGGACCTCTGGGCCAGGACTGTTGGCTTTGAGAGCCAATGCCTTTCTGGACCCTGGATGGAGAGGTGCTGGATTGGGCATGGTCGGCGTACCGATACGAGTCTTGGGGCTGGGGAACGGGAGTCGGTTGTCAGGAGGGGTAGAGAGATCGGCTTCGCTCGCTGTACGCGCAGAGGAAGCCTCACTGGAAGGAGGGCTGGGGGTATGGATGTGTTCTCTGGGGACTGTGGAGTATGCAGGAGTGAGCCTCATCATCTTGGCTCGACGCTTGGCAGTCTGTACGTTATGAATCTGCTGAATCGCATCACGCTCAGCCAAAAGGTCCTTCTGATCTGCTGCGGTAACGAAAGACTGACGCTCGCGGTAGCGACTCTCAAAGAAGCCGCGCCCCGTTGTCCAAAGTCTGGAATCAGAGACAACGCCACGAACGTGATTCTTGGGCCTAGAAGGCACCGGCTGAGCCAAGTTGTGCGACATTGTTGAGGAGGTGCTGGCATTGGACGAAGAGTGATGACTGCTGATGGTGCTAGCGCTGAGACAGCTGTCGGTGAAGAGCGCCGGGTCGGCTTGCGATGACGAGAGCGTCATTGTGTCGAGGTTGTCGTTGGGGGTGAGCATGTAGCTGGGTGTCTGATGAGATGCGTGTTGCGGTCGATGATTGAGGATGCGGTGGTGAGATTGGAAAGGCGCGTTCACGAGCATACCGTTATGCTCGACGAGCGATGCGTAACGGTGAAAGCTCAAAGGTTCGCGTAGTCACTATGCTTGCCGCATAGAAGCGGTGGTAGTATGTGGAGATGGGTTCGAAAGAGTGTGCAGCGCGTACAGGCAGTGGAAAGGAAAGGTGATGATGTAGGTGCGTAGGGTTGGCGAGTGTAGGTGGATGTCGAGGAGCCGGTGGCAGTGGTGGTCGGACGGAGACGACAATGAGGTTGAGAAGCCAGGCCAAGCACAAAGTAGGGCCCAAAACTTGTTGCGCTGTGGGGGCTGTTGAGAGACTAGGCTGAAGTGAGCTGAAACCGAAGAGAGGAATGTAGAAGCCAAGCTCACGGATCGTCGGCTTCGGTGGCTGAACAAACAGAAGAGAAGGGGGAGAGCAGGCAGCAGAGAGAACGGGTTGTGAAGGAAGAAAGGAAAGAGCACACGGTAGAGGGGGGGCTGAATGTCGAGATGAAGCTCAGCTGAGCTGGCCGGAAGAGGAGGAGAGCTAGGATCAGAAAGTGTGGATACTGAAGATTCCCCAGCAAAAGGCGGGCTAAAGGGATTGAGGGGGGAGGATTGGGCGTAGCCAAACCTCGGACGTAGCGCGCTGTGCCGAATAGATGACCCAGAATCGGAAGCAATGTGGTAGGGTGAGAAGTGTGAAGCAGAAGGCGATGTGGTGCGATGCAAAGGGTTAATAGCCAGCTGGACGCAGCCGAAAGCTTGGAAAGGGTTCTGGGTGAGGGTGAAGGAGTGAAGAGCAGGGAAGGGCTCTGACCTTGGGCAAATAATTCTGTCGAGAAGGCGCTACTGCGCAGTCACGGCTGGATGCGTACAACAAGGGGATGTGGAAAGAGGACGCGGCTGTGAAAGAAGAATACAAACGCTGTACGAAGACAGGCTTGATGTTGTGGCTGAGCAGATCGATGGATCAGAAAGCGCATATGTTGGATGAGGAGGAGGGGGAGCAGCAGCCAAAATTGGGTGTTGAGTCGATATGATGGGGGCATCAGAAGCGCAGCAATATGGGATCGTACTCGACTGTGAGGCTTACGATTGCGAAGG